AATTCCAAATCCTAATCAAATCCTAAATCCTAAATTTTAAACCAAATCTTAACCAAATCCTAAACTCTAAATCAAATCCTAGACAAATCTTAGATCCTAAATCAAATCCTAAACCTTAAACCAAATCCTAACCAAATCTTAAATTCTAATCTAAATTCTAACTAAATTCTAAAGCCTAAATCAAACCTTAATAAAATCTTAACCAAATCCTAAATCCTAAGATAGTTTAGAACTTCAATATTTTTTGATTAAACCGTTGATCTTATTTAAATTTTTATAAATCTTTGTATTTCTTAGTTACAAAAAATTACAATAAAATTGAAGACAATGGAGCTTACTAAATAGAAAAAAAAATCCTAAAAACTGCTAAGATATTAGTCAGCCTCCTTTTCCAACCTTGATGCTAATCTTCATGTACTAATATCTCTTTAATACAAAATTTAATTTATTTTAAACTTCTTATATATATAAAATAAAAATTCTACTATCTACATACAAAACTTCTACTCCAATTCAATTTATAGATTGCAAGAAATCTTAGAAATCTTCACTAAATCTAAAATTCTACTTTCCAAGATTCTAACCTACTTAAACCTCAATAATCCTCAATTCAATAGTTAGATCAAGCTAAAATTTGCAATACATATTAAACACAACTATAACCATTGATCTATAAAATTTTATTTATAGAACTGCTACAAAATTCTTGAAATTACCCAAAATACCAACCCTATTTTATTTCACAAAAATCTAAGTCATTTGAAACAATCTTGACTTTATAAGGCTCTTACAAAGTCATTACAAATCCAAATCATACAAAATCAATGCTTATAGAAACGTTATCAAGTCTGCTATCAAATTTTATTCTGTAATCTACATCAGAACCTTGAAATTAGAATAAGTGTGTAGTTTTGTGCCTCAGGGTCTGATTTTGACTTATGTTGACAATTGGTCCTCTCTGTGTATCAATTCCTAGCTTCTTGAGGTAAATTTTGCTAAAATCTACTCTTAACTTCTTCTTATACATGCCTATATTATTTAATTTTTTTAATTTACTTTATTTTACTTTATTTATGGCCTTGCAAAATAAATAGAAGCCCATTTTGTAAAAAGAAATATTAGTACTTTTTAGTTTTATTATCTTTTTGACTATTATTTATATTTCTAAGATGATTTGCTATAATATTTTGAACTAAAATCTTTTATAATATAATAATTTGTACACTCTTTCACCTATTAGCCATGTTATATCATGACACTGGGTACTTAATTGTAGAAAGAAGGAAAATTATAATGACAAGATCCTAATAATTCTAATAGAATCTTTAATAAATTCTAATTAAACCTTAATAATGCTTATTAAGCTTTAATCAAAATCAAAAGAAAACTTTTAAAAATTACAAAAAATATATTAAAAAATCTTCAAGAAATATTAAAAAAAAAAAAAAAAAAAAAAAAAAAAAATCTTATATAAATCCTAATTAGATCCTATTTTAATCCTAATTAAAATCCTAATGATAATTAACTTAATTTTAGGTCAAATCCTAATCTTAAATCAAACCTTGAACAAACCTCAAATCCTAAACTAAACCCTAGACATATCTTAAACTCTAAATCAAATTCTAAATAAATTCTTAATCTTAAATCAAACCTTAGATAAATCCTAAATCTTAAATCAAATCCTAAATAAATCATAAATCCTAAATCAAATTATAAACAAATCTTAAGTTCTAAACTAAATCTTAAAAAAATCCTAATATAGATTAAAATCCCAATATCTATTAATTAAATTTTTGATTTTACTTAAAACTTTACACACCTTTCAATCTCTTATTTAAAAACCAATGTAAAAAATTTGAAGATAATCGCACTTATCAAATAGAAGAAAAATCCTAAAATCAACTAAGGTATTAGCCGGCTTCCTACTCCAATCTAAATGTTGAACTTTTAGTCTCAATATCTTCATTTTGAACTATTGATTTTTTCCCAAAATTTACTTAAATTGTTGAAAATCAAGTCTAGTTTCTATACAAAAATATTTCACTTTAATTTAATCAACAGATTGCTAAAGATCTTTAAAATACTTATTGATTTTTAAACACTAATTTTTGAGACCTTAATCCACAAAAAAATTTACATACTTTGATTTAATCATTTGATGGACCTTAAATTGTTCAAAACATTAACATCATTTTTTTTACAAAAACCTATGTTATCCAAAACAATCGTGATTTTCTAAAGCTCTCACAAAGTCATTAGAAATTCAAATCACCCAAAACTAATGCTCATAAAAATCTTATTAAGTTTGCTCTTAAATTGAGCTCTTTGATCTTCAAAAGAAACTTGGAGTCACCGTAGGTGCATGATTTTGTACCTCGAGTGTGATTTCAATCCAAGTTAGCAACCAATCTTCTTTAAGTATCAATTCTTGGCTTTTTGAGGTAAATTTTGCTAAAATCTTCTCTTAACTCCCTCTCACATATTTCTATATTATTTTAGTTTACAATTTTCTTTGTTTTATCTTATTTATGGCTCTACAAAATAAATAGAAGCCTATTTTGTAAAAAGGCAGTAATAATATTATTTAGTTTTATATTCTTTCAACTTTTATTATTATTCTAAGAGTCTTTGTTATAATTTCTTTAAAGTAAGATTTTATATAATATAATATTTTCTTCTTTCTTTCATTCATTAGCCATGTTACTTCTATCACAACATCCATCTTCTATGAACTTGTGCATCCTCCAATATGAGTCATCAAATTAACTTATTATTTATTTTGGGACAAAAGAATGCATGTAGAGTGCCAAAATTATAAATTTTTAGGTGAAGATGTACTTAGACGATATTAAATAAAAGAGAATAATATTAATGGATAAGAAATGGAGTCTTAATAAGTCTTGGAGGTAATTATTTTTGTTGATTTAAGATTTTTATTTATTGTTGAATAGTAAAGATTAATTATTAAGGTCAATATTTATATTGGCCTTCTATCTATACATATTACTTATAAAAATAACTATAAATATTAGTTATTAGTTAGAAGAAGCATGAAAAAGAACCTCATGTCTTTTTAATTATTTAAATAGAAAGTAGGATTTAAAGTGGATTTAAATTTTTTTTATTACTATAAAAAATCATCAAGGTAAAAAATTATAGCTTCAAATTAATTTTAATATTATAAAAATATTAAATAATTTTTAGAATTTATTTAGAATTTATTTAGGAATTTTTAGAGCAATTTCTAAGACTTTTGTAAAAATGAGTTTTATCACTTCGAAAGCCAATATGAAGAAATGGAGTAAGATTTGAAGGCCTCATTTAGCTCGTAGGATAATTTGATGTTTTTAAACACCATAGTGAAGTCGAAAATGAAAAATTATAGATTTTATTAGTAGAAAATAGGAGGACCAACAGCTAGTATAGTCCTTTTAAGAAGGGAGGTTCATAAGTTCCACATGAGTTGTAGCACCTTAAAGGTAGTTAGGAAGATAAGACTAAGGCCTCATGGCCTCTCTTAGAGATCCATATACACTACTTGAGAGCTTTGGTGAGGCTCGAACTCCTAATCTCTTAAACAAGTTATCTTTGAGATAAAAATTTATTTACTTAATTTTTTGTTTATTTACTTGTTATTTTTCAAACCTTCATAACTTACTCATAATAATTCGGATTTATATGTTTCTTATACCATTGAAAAGATAAAAATATTAAATTTCTAAAAATTTATTTTTTATTACTTTTTACTTTTTATTAGATAAAAACTCAATAAATAGACCGTGACTAGTTTTATAGTGTACAATTACTTGATTGCATTTGTTCCACTTGTTTTGTATTTTGCTTATTTTATTCTTGTTCTTGCTACTTCCATTTCACACCACCCATTACAAGTAACTTTGAATTAAGGCCATCTTGTAATTGGGTTGAGGACTGAATTTAACATTCACATCCTATAAGCACTAAGTTTTCTTCATTACATTGATATAGAGTATTCTTTGTCTTAGTCACGGACAATTACGAAATGAAATGAAATAAACAAAAGAACCGGAACTGCGCGGCCACAGGCTCACAACCCTAATCCCATCACCCTTTGGTTCCCTGAGGATTACGGTAAGAGATGTATCTTCGAGGGAACATTGCAATAGTATTATTGCTCTGCAATGGGCAGTTAAAATCGTGTGTGAGATCTTTGCATAGCAGATTGATGCAGCCATTGCTGCCCTCACAGTGTGCGCTAGGCGGCTGGGGAGTGCGGCGGGCTGTTTCGCACAGTCTCCCCTGATCGGGATTTGCGGAGCCCATTTCCCCCTCAGCCCGACGCATCTTCTTCTGGCTATGGTTTGCAGGTTGGCTTCCGACAATACCTTTGTCCCTCATCCTATTGGTTCTCCTTCCTTCCCGCTCGCAATCGCCGCCTCCGCCCCCGCTCCCGCCCCCGCTCCCGCCCCCGCTCCCGCCCCCGCTCCCGCCCCCGCTCCCGCCCCCGCCTTGTGATCGCATCTCATCGTTTACAGATCTAGGCCTTCAAGTTGATTTTTTTAAAATGGCATAGAATCATCACGAAAAATTTCTCCCTTTCGTGTCATTGGTTGTCAATCACCCACAAAAAAGATCGTGTGGAACAAGTTGATTATCAAATTATAGATTACTTATTAATTAACAATAGTTTTGTAATCAATCTGTGTAGCTCACCAGATTCTAGAAGCACGTGCATGCTAAATACTTAAGTTTGACTTCTGATTCCCACTTCCATCATTAGTGGATTTTTGGTCAGAAAACAATGATCTTTGTGTCATGTAGCTGCCCAACTTTTCAGTTGGTCGAAGGGGGTTTTTATAACGTGAAGCCCACTTTGAAAGCCCTAGGTCCGAAAGCCTCACGAAGATCCCTGTTTCATGAAGGACAGATGTCTTGATCCTCGGCCTTTGGAGGCAAGTGTCCTAAAACTTGACCTTTGGAGATGGAGGAAAATAAATTATGCACACCACCCTCGCCCTTTCCTCACAGATTCTTCTAAATACAAAGGCAACCAAGCAGTGTCTGACTAGGCATTTCTTTCATCGAACGCGTCCTCTTTGGTTCTGCAAGTTGCTGCTCCCGGTGTCCACCCTCTCACCGCCCCAGACACAGCTACAAATGATTCCAACACCATTTGGGTCAGGCCGGAATTGAGTTTTTTTTAGTTAGAAGTCTTTTTAGTTCGATTTGGCTGCATGCCAACTGACTTGCAGATTAAAATTGTCCAATCAGTTTCTGCCCCTAATGGTACTTCACTGCATTATCGTTAAGTCCATCTCTTTCGTGTGAGTCTGGTGTGTGTGAGAAGATTCTACTCCAGCTTTGTTGGGTTCAATGAACTTGTGTGGATCTGTCACAATCGACAGAGTCTAGATGTTATGAATGTTGAGCTGAATGTGTTGGCCTCTGGTTGGATCGCTGCTAGCCTGCCATTTTTTACGCTGTCCTGCACTTCCTTCAAGCCTCTAATAGAAAATAAGCCTTGACTTGCTACAGATGATTATGCTGTTTTATCTTCTTTCGGGCTGTTTTCTTTTGCTCAGGTTTGCCAGCCTTCTTAATTCATAGTACAACATTTTGACGAATTGTGTCAAAAAGTGGCGAGGCGGAAGGACCTATCTAGTTCGGTAGCGACTTTAGAGTTTCAATGAGCAACTCGTCACAGCTCGCTGCAGTAAATGGTGTCCATCGTCGAGGCATCGGAGGGGAACATTATGTTTTGCAGAATTGCAAAACATATACCCAGTTTGGATTTGGGCGGTATTGTAGCTTTGGTGGGCAGTAGTGCATCCGCAGCTGCACTTCCGTACACTTGTATAATTCGAGGGCGGTTACCATACTTGAATACCTATGTAACTCCAGGGACTTTAGGCCTTGCTTATGCGGTGTTAACTTGCATTAATTGGCGGCCGGCACAAATTTTGGCTGGTGCTGGAGAAACTAGGTCAATGTTAGAACTTTACGGATTGAAAGCAAGTGGTACGGCCACCTACGTTGGTCTGAAATCGGGAACAAGTCTGCAAGTCCGAGGTATTGCGGGAGATGCGTTGGTGCCGGAGCTTGTGACGAAAGGCAAGAAAAGAGTCGATGCACAACATGCCATTGGGCGACAATCTGGGAGGCCAACGCTTGTCATTTGGGCGGACATTATTAGCGATGTTGACGGGGAGGTGGTTGTTTGGAATGAGAATGGAGCTTTGATAAGTGTGATTGCCACTCTTGTGTCTTCTGTAGCGGCAGTTTTATGTGCCCTGTGCCATGAATGGCTCTCGCTTTCTGTGGTAGTTTCAGGTATGCTTCTGAATGCCGCCTTGGGCTTTTTACTTCGACAGCGAGTATATAAATTTGTCAAAACGCAAGCGGCACAGGGATCGCCTCCTGGAGATGCTTTGGTATTGCTGAATGATGAACCGGATGCACTCTGCGTGGTGCGGGGCAGCGAGAATGCCATTCAGAGGCTGTTTCAAAGGGAACTGGAAGAAACCGGCTTTACTAATCCTCTTCCGTTGTTTCTGGTGTGTGTGGCTATGATGGTTTACACAGCTGTAGTGGTACTAGGGGTGCCACACATGGGAGTAACTGGCCAAATACTATTATTGATTGCCATCTTTGTTGGAGCAATAGTTGACTTGGTAAAGGGTAGTTGGGATGGCAAGAAGGCAATTGCCAAAGCGGCAATCGACAAGTACGAAATTAAAACAGTCAGCGTGAAAAAATTCGGAAATCGAACTGCGGCAGTAGCGTGTGTAGCTGCTGGCAGTTCGAAGACAGATGCGTTGCAACGATCAGGAGTGTTGCCTGCCACTGGCACGGCATGGGAAAGTTGGTGGGGAGTATTGAATACCCTGGTTCAAGAGGGTGACAGACAGGATCGGAGTGCACCCCCTAATCTCGTTGAAAGCAGGTATTTGCAACTGTCGGCCGATCCGCTGTGGCCCATCATACTAGATGACATGTTGAATGGTTATTCAGAAGCGTGCCATCCTCAAGAGGTTGATGAGTGATCAATCTTACCAATGTGGCCTTTGCCAATAGTAGGTGAAATTTGTTCCGATTTTGGATGACTTCTTCAATAGCATTGAGATTGCCTTCGATTCAATGTGATGGGTAATTTTCAATGTGTGCTCTGAAGTCTCTAATTTTGTTTTGGGTGCATCACTTGGGCAATGGATATGTGCAATTTTGCAAAAAGTAGTAGAGATTATGTCTAGTGGTACTTTGCATTTGGATCCATTTGCATTTTTTTTTAAGTCATAACAACCAACCCTCTGAAGAATGTAATGCCTCTTAAAATATTTTATCAAATTTTTAAATGTTGAATATTCCATATTATGTGTACCAAAAATTATAACTAAGCTCTTAACTAAGAGACCAAAAGTACTCTCTTCTTGGTTTTTCGTACATTTTTGTTGCAATGAATGATGTTCATCTTACTTTCATAAAACATCCAATTTTTGTAACATGGTATCAAAGTTGGATGAATAATATCATAGATGATTATGATTGGATAAAATTTGGATGAAAATTAATGTTTTTTGTAAATGAAAACTTTGATGATGTGCTTGTTGCCTAAGCCTTGTTGCCATTAGAACGTTGTTAAAGTTGAGGAGCTATTGGAGTTGTTAGTGCATTGTTGGAGTTTTGTTGGAGCTGCTAAAGCCCTATTGGAGCTTTGTTGGAGCTACTAGAGTTGGAGTTTAATTCTACTAATGTTGATTTTTAGTTAATTAAATTTTATTTGTTGATGGTAAAAAAAAGTGATACTTCTACTCTCTATATATTATATTTTATAGACTATTTATTAATTATTTCTTTATAATTATTTGTTGATATTGTATTTAGAAATGGCATCTTCAATGCATTATTGCATTGATCAATTAGATGAAAAAAATTATAGCTTATTGTCATTTATTGTGAAACACTTGATGTGCATTTATAAACTTTACATGTATGAAGATAGGACATTAAAATATCCTTACAAGTATTGATAAAAAATTAAAATAGAAATCAAGTGAAGCACAAGTATAACCATTAATTGTACTCAATATTAATTCTTTGCAATTAACTCATTTATACAAATGTAATATTGCAAAGGTGTAGAGTGCATTGGCTAAGATCCATAAATTCTCAAGAGTTATTATTTAAATTATATAATCTTTGATATATGGATGAAAAATCTATGGAGATTTTTCTTTAAGAGATTTTTAATCTTAGAAATTAATATATTGAAGTCATTAATAAAATAGGCAAATAAAGCATGACATTTCTTATACTTACTACATTACCAAAATCTTAGAATCCACTTATTCAATTGATTGTATTGAAAAAAAGAGAAGAGATTATAGAAGAGGTAGTACAATATATTTTCTTTAAGAAAGAAATACTAAAGAAGAAAAAGATTAGTTTTTTATTTTTTGCTTTAGTAGTGCATGTAAAAAGAAAGCAAGAAGTACTTGTAGGGCTTGTGGCCAACAGAGGCATTGGTAAGGTGATGCAAAATATTCTAAAATAAACAACAATGGTAATGCAAATTTAACTTAGATGTCAATAGAATCAATTAGATTCTATCTTCAAGTGACTTACTCACATAAGGTATACTAGTTGATAAAACTTATTTTATACCTTTTAAAATTGAAGAAGTTATTACAACTTCTAATTCATCTATTTTAAGTCATATACTTATTAAATGACATTAAGCATTAGAAACATGGTCAATAAGTTGGCCATGTGCCACACATGTTATTAGCTTGAAGACCAATCTAACTATGTGGCCCACACGTAGAAAAACTTGCCTTGTAAGTCAAGGCATGTATCTTACAAAGTCAACACATATTGGAGGTCCTATAGAACGTCGCCACATAGCTCCTAGTAAGATAGTATATATAGAGAGAAGAGTGAAGCCTTCTTTACTCTTGTCAACTCCTTTCTTGCTTCCAATCTAGTTTCAAGGGTCTCTAGTTTTCTCGGCTTTTGATAATAGCCATTCCAGTTTTATTCTTAATATATATTTTAAATTATTCCTATTTTGTCATTGTGATTGCTCGTTTTACTTATTCCAAATTAATCTAATGGAAATAAATCTGTATAGGGAGATTCGAACACGGGGAATGACTAGTTTCTTAAGCATTCACGTTAGGGTCACACAATCAATTACCTCTTGAATGTATCGTCTCTACTTCTAATACTGAATACACAAGGAAACTATAATCTCCTCCTTCACCTTATTGGTCTCTTCCTTACAGCAATTCAATCATACCAATAACTGCTATTTCGACCAATATATTCACCTTCATAATCTCCAACTATAATACTATGCCTTCACAGCTTTCAACACACAATTACCCTCATTCCAATCACTAGAATTCTTCACACAAAACTGCCATTCACATTACGGTGTTTCACACAAACACAGACTCATTCTCTTTGCTAAACTACAATCAGATTTCAGTATTCAATCTTTCTTCTTCTCAAATAATACCAATCACATTTCCATTCCATAATCCACTTCACAATATTCAAAAACTCTCAATCCTCTTATTCAAAGAAAATAACAAACAAAAGAAAAGAGGTAGCACCAAGCTTACCCCGGCTCACAACTATCACAGTGATGGCACCTTAATTAACTTCTACAACTCCTATATACTTTCTCCTAATTCTCTAGATTCTAATCGTTACTTTGTAATTAACTACTTTTAATAACTAAATCACTCATCCGTCCTCCTGAATTTTCTATTATATGGACTATTAATATATTTTACCAATATCTTTCAAAAATGAATTAATATCTATTCTACATAGCCCAACTCCTATCTGTATAGTGTCCTCACAAACACTCAATTGATACTTATCTAAAAATTATCTAACAAAACTCTACAAAAATTGCGAACCCTCTAGCCTATCTTATTAATCAATTGCCATAGTATTTGTTATTGGTTCCACCGATTCTGGTTCCAACTACAAATCTTCGTCCTCCTCCAGTCCTTCTATCGGTTCCTGCCTCAACTGAGCTGAAAGGTCTTCATTGTATTTGCCCAGTTCACGGACTTGAGCTTCTAATTTTAGGATATGGGCATCTCTTAATTCCAACTAGCGCTGAAAGTGACTCTTCTCTTTTAGAACTTTGGGAACTGGCAATGTCGATACTTATGCTTGACCAATATTGATTAAATCCTCTGCCAATCTTGTCACCTCGACATTCAAGGCCTCAATTTCAGCCTTTAACTGCTCCATTTCATATCTGTATTAGTCGCTTAATATCAATTTCTCTTGTGCCAAAAACTCGATCTTTACTTGTTCCATTATCAATTGACCCTTCGCTTTTTTTAGTTCCAAAATTGAATGACTGCGAGCCCGGAATAGTTCTTACCTACGGGTCTCCACCATGCGTTCTCTTTCTTTATCCTAAGCTTCCTGTTGTTTTCTAATTTTTTGCTCCAATAGCAGCTTGGATTTCGCATTCGCTTCGATGATCCGTTCTTGCTCTTCAATTCTTTGGATCTGCTCCAATATCACCTTTTTTCTTGCCTCTAATTCCTGTTTACCACTGCTCTCTACATCCAATGCTCGTACCATGTAATGTATTTGTGAAATGTATTTCAATAGAGCATTTTTAAGATGTATGCCTTCTGATAGTCGGCCCTGTGGAAACGCTAACTGATTGATATCTAACAATGTCAGGACTTCATTCTCTTTTTCCACCACCAAACAAATCGGATCCGTTTCCGGTTCCCCAATTTTATGTATTATCTCTATTGTATTGACATTCTATGCCAACAAATTTTGTTCTCGTTGCAGAGGCACTGGCATTGGTTCAAAACTTCCCTCTACTGGCGATGTTTACCACAATGTGTACGCGATCACAACATACACATAATTGGAATATAGCAACATTGTAAACTTTCCTATTTTGTGCTTGGCTCCCATTTTTGCATGAATACGGGTTGCTACATAAGCTGCCTAATTGAACACCATCCCTTCAAACATCCCTACTGCTGCAAACATTAACCGTCTTGACATATATGTGTTGTATCAATATAACCCTAGATGCCTCAACACGAAGGGCGTTCATTCCATGAGCTGAGGTATAATTGCCTTATTCGTCTGCCAACCTTGGTTCTTCTCAAACAATGACATGCCACCTTTGAAATAACTTCCCGGTCGGAAGTCACTGGACTCCTCAACATCCACCGCAATCTCTCCAACTAGAAGAAACAATATTTTTTTGAGGATCTTCTCATCAATACTGATAACGCATCCTTGTACTACGCTCAATCCATCCTATGGGTCATAGTTCGCGATGTATTCTTCCACTAATGCCACATTAATTGAAGGCAAACTATCTCACCTTCGTAAAAACTGAAACATTTACGCGTTTCAAAAATCTCATATTCTCCTTGGCATCTAGCAAATCTTTAGCTTCATAGGCTCCATATTGGTAACAATTACTACGGATGGTGGTTCTAAATTGCATTCAGCTTTCACATTTTGGCCACTTTTCTCTCTGTCTGTAGCTCTCTTTGCACTCTCAATCGCCATGACGCACACTCTTTCCAGCTCCAACTGTCAATACTACCCTCCAGTACTCCAAAACACCCAAAATTATAACACCAAAAAGAAACAATAACAGAATGCGACACCTTAGAATGACCGTAAATGAGTGCCCCACTCTTATTCTTTTACTTAATAGTAATAATGACAACATGTTACTCCTACTGTCCATTTCTCACCTCTATCTCATCTAACATATTAGTAATTACCAACTATCCTTTCAACCACTTCTACATCCTAACGTACTTAATTAGGTCTATCTTAAGTACATTTGATGTGACCTCCTCCAGAAATTAAAAACCCGTCCCGAGTTTTATGTATGATATAACTGTAATCGGTTCCCGTAAATGCAGGCACTGAATCGATGACCCATGAAATCCTCCAATTGAATAGACCCATTGAAAAACCCTTCAATCACACAATATGGCCTATGCCAGTGAACTTGAAATTTATCCAAAAAATGATTAAACTTGCTATCATACAACAATACCAAATTATTGGGCATAAAACTCTTTGGACGCAGTTTACTATCATAGTAACTCTTCCGCCATTTTTGAGTTTCTTCCATGTTGAAG